AAAAGATCTGGATTTCAATATTTGTCTTCATTATTTCCCATGATCTTTCCCATCTATTGCTATGAAGAAGGTATCAGCTTCAACCAGCCATTGATGGATCCTTTGGACTCGACTGAAAATCAGAACACCTCAAGTTTTGTGGCCTTAAGGCAGTTTTTGCTCAGAAATAGAATTGTAATGCATATTCTTCCTTAGTAATTCTGTTGCCAAGGAAAACCAACCAAAACCTGTTATTCTCTAAGAACCCTAAATGTTGTATCTTCACTAAATGAGTATATGCTTCAGTTGTGCTCTTATGCACTTTAGAAACACACAATCAACCTCAATACATCATCGATACTGACATCCAGCACCTGGAAGACACAATATTTAGCTTAAACCATCTCACAGTTTTTGTGTGCCACACTGACAGTTCAAAACACTGACAGAAAAAATCATGATGACCAAAGATGTCCAAGCGATCAACATTTTACTGCAGTCCAAAAGGAAAAGGAAGAGCAGTGAAAAACCGCGAAAGCACCTTGAACAAGGCAGCAGCAAAAACTTCTGCCTGACTCTGTGTAACACACGAAATAACCCCGACCAGGGGCACAGTCTTCATCTCAGTGTTCAGAGGATGAGTCATCAGAAAGATGAATCACTTCACAGGCTGTAGTGACTAGAGTCAACTTGGACATGTATGGGAAGGCATCTGGTGTTGCTTGGATGCTCTAGGATGTGTGAGTTATCAGTGTAGGACAGCTTGAAGTGTCTCAGACCTAAGGGAAACCAGCACCTCGCTAGAGCTGCAGCTGGAGGCTGAGGAGGACACCCTGGAGGATCCAAAATGAAATTCAGTGGTTATGTTGAGGAAACTGGATGCTGCCTGTGAAGATGGGCAGTAAGTATCTCAATCCAAACAAATCTCTGTGATGTTAATGTCAGTGTTTGGACCAGGCAACACGCCTCCTTCTACAGGCAGTGAAGGCTCTTCAAGGTCCTCGTTTCTCTCTAGATAACAAGGTGGAGTAGATCATCTTCTAGGCACACGACAGATGCTGAATTTCACCACTTAGTGGTGATTCTGCTCTCTTACGACATACTAGGGTATGATAACTGTTCCCCTAGCAAGCAGTGTTCTATGAAAACAGTGCTGCAGTTAAGAGCTCAGTGCTCAGCAGCCCTGCCACAAATCTGCTTCTGCTCCACACCAGCTCACCTCCTTATCTCTCAGTATGGAAGTCTCAGGCCAATGCTGTTGATCAGCCAGATTTGCCTCGGTGTCTATTTGCCGTATTACACACCTCAGCCTCCCTCCAACACATCATAACTGTGCATTCTGTTCCCACTGCCTCTTTGCTCCTTCCTTATTTTCAGAACCCCAGACAAGCTTTCATTCATTTTGTGCCTCCTGTAACCACGTCTTTAGGCTTCCCCAAAAGATCACCCACCATCTATGCTGCTTCCACTATTGCTGGTCTTTTAAGGTATCTTCCAACTCAAACCAGCCTCTGGTTCTATGGGTACTTTGCCAACCACTACTTGTCCTATTTACAGACAACTCCTGGGATGGTAGCAGTGTAAAACAACACCCTCCTAACTCCCCCTTCTAGCCTTAAAGTTGATCTTAGGACAAGGGTTAAGTGCTCTGCCCTTGTACTATCTAAAAGCACGAGACATCTCTGCAGGTGTCTCCTGGTTTATGCCATCTCAGAAAACACTTCTGCAGACTGAATCCTGAGTGTCCAGTACAATAAGTAACTATAATAAGTGGATAATTCAGATAAAAGGAGTTTTCCTTTGGGACCTCTTAAATAAAAGCATGTTTGTTTTCCATCTTTGACTATGTAAGGAACATATATACTTCTGTGATTTTATGTGGATAACATAATTTTCTTGGGGTCAGGCACTTAGTGAAAAAATAACCAAAACTGGTATATCAGAAGGACAATTAGATGACAGATTCAATGGATCTGTGATATTTGTGTCTTATTTCTGTGTACTGAAAATTCTCCCAAACATGGTCTAGTAATTTACTGCAGCTGAGATCATATCCACCATGTCCTTTATGCTATGTTGTCCAAGCTTGTCTTCCATGGATACACTGGTCTCTCTACTCACTGGGACAACCTCTCCTGGTTCTGCCTCTTTGCTTACTCCCACTTCCCACAACAACTTCCTTTCTCTAGGGAATCCACGATGCTGAAGGAAAGGGATGGCTGGATCTAAAGACTACAGCTCCCTTTACACCAGGGCTGAGATCACCTCAGTGCAACTCTGAAGGTGTTAATTACAGACAGTGACTGGGAGAGCCAGAGTCACCTCTCACCGTGAGCCAGTCACACTCTGGCTCTGGGGAAATGTTCCTCATGGTCTCCTTAGAGGCACAGCCCAACTCCGCAATGTTCTTGGAGAAATTCCATGGTGTTCTGAGCTCCAGGGGCCAGATCTAGAGCCCTGAATCACCTCAGGTCAGCATCCCTCCAGAGCTGCTCAGTTGAACCATGAAGGACTCAAAGCCCAACAGTGGGTAGTGGCCTTTCCCACCACACTTGAAAGGTGACACTCTTAGCAGTGGATGGGAAGAATAATCCAAACAGAAACCAATAGGGTTGTCAAAGAGGCCTGAAAAACAATGAATTTAGTGGGCACCTCCTTTTTTTTTCCTATTGGATCAGTTGAGCTCACCTTTGGTCCAGAGCTGCCCATCTTCCCATTCAGTGGTTGAAACACTGTCTTTTACAGGAAAGGTCAAAGGGTGCTGATGAAGAAGCAAACGCTCAAGGAAACCGAACCTGTTATTTCCTCACTTCCCCCATCTAGATTTGACTTCAGTGGCCAGCAGTAATGCAGATAATATCTCACAGACCTCACCATGAACTTTCAACGACACCTGCACTACAAAACACTGCTCTCCTTAATCATCCTCATTGATCTTGAGCTTAACCACAAAAGAAGCAGAAGTTTAATTGGAAGAAACTGTAAAGCCGCCTCTTCTGCCACACTGTTCCTCTCTGCTTTTGGACACTTACATTGGGATGAAGGCTTCAAATCCATGGATGGAACACACATCTGAAGGTCCAGCTCCCATGCATGGCTGGACGTGCTTCAAATATCTCTCAGGTTGTTCATGGCTTTGATCACACAGACAATCTAAGACAAGACTGAAGTCTAGCAATCCTCTCCAACATTTTTTTCCTCATATCTATTGAGAATGACAGATGAACAAATTATTATTTCCAGTGGTATTCCTGTGATCCAGATCATCTCTGGCTGACATGTCCATTCCTCTCTCTTGCCGTGTGAAGGTATCTGAAATAAAATTCGGAGCTTAGGCTTGAGTGCAGAGCTTTGTTTTCAAGGCCAATGTCTATTAAACACACACAGCTGAAGTGCAGGCAGCGGGGAGAGTTGGTGGCAGAAATCTGAAGCAGGAAAAAAGCACACCAAGCAGTAATCCATGACAAGTCCATGAGGACAGCTCAGGTGAGATCAGAGTAGGAATAAAAGGGAGACATCATGCAATGCCCAATTTACTACTACTTCTGAATGGATGCCCAAAGTTTGTTTCCTTTTGTGCCAAAGTAGAAGGACCTGTTGGACATAGTGATGTCCAAGCTACCAAGAAGGGTTCCTTGCTGTAAGGCCTGGGTAGGATCTGTGGGAAGCAGATCCAGCAGCTCCCGCCATGTCTCCCCAGTGCGGTTGAGCCTTCCAGGCACACAGAAATGGGCACCCCAGGCACTCCAGCACATACACACCAGGGACACGTGTCAAGGCAGATCAAGCACCGCCAGCACCCACACCTTCCTGGCAATGATTCCAACAGCATGAATACAAGGAGGGAAGCCAACTTTTTCCAAGGAGTCTGGAAAACTCACAGAGCAATTCCTCTCATAATGCACGTTAGGACACATGGAGCAGAGGAAGGGGATGGCAACAGTCGGCAAGCACTTACCAAGTGTAAGCAGGCTTGACCAAGGTGATTTGCTTCTCTCATTATGGCATTATGCAGGAAGGAGAACAGTGAGTGTCCTTTACCTTGACTTTAGCAAGGCTTTGGACACTGTCAGGACCCAGCATATTCTTCTCTGTGGGTTAGAATGTTATGATCTAAATGAACAACTTGATGAACAACAGGTTGGATGTTCGTGCTCAGAGAGTGGTGGTGGTGGTTCATAGGCCATACTCTATGTGGAGGTCTGTAACAAGTTCAGACAGAAGAGAAGCTTTCCAATGCCTGCAAGCTACCACTAGGAAGATGAACCAGGCTCTTCACCGCAGCCAGCGGTGGTAGCATGAGAGAGAAAGATAATGGGTAGACAGTAGAAAATAAACTAAAAAGTCAATGTGTAAGAAAAAACTAAAAGTGTTTTCATGATGAGAAGACTGAAGCATTGGAATGAGATGCCCAGACAGGATGTCCAGTCTTCCTCTTCTGTGTCAGTGCCTTAAGTGCATTCCCCTTCCTGGAGGTTTGACTGGCTGGACTCACGGCAAAAGGAGAGTCAGCAAAACTGGGGGCTGAGTCCCTTCCAGCTTGAAACCCTGGAGCCAGTGCAGCCAGGGGGGACCTCAGAGAGGCCTCAGGCAGGGCTGCTGCCCTTCTCCTGGGGGCTGCTTTGAAGAGGACACTCTGGTCCCCACCTGAGCTCCAGCTCCAGTAGTGTCTCAGCCAGGCCTGAACCTGGCCATGGCCTCTGCTGATGTGGACCTGGGCCCATGGACTGACTTCCCAGCTGGACCTCAGACTTTTCTCAGCAAATGGACTTCTCAAATCATCTAGAACACAAGTGCTCAGGGATGTGAGGTTCTGAACAAGCCCAGATCTCTCCAGCTTCTGGAGGAGATGGTGACAAAAACCAGAGCATGTGCAATGAACTCCCTCACCAAGCCACAATCTGGGGGTTGCAAATAAAAAAGTAGAAAATGACACAACCTAAGAGCAGGCTGAGGTTTCCTGTTTCAACTCCACACTACATATATAGAGATTGCCATTCTGTACCTATCTCCTGCCTGGCCTTAATAACTGCTTTGGCTCCTCAGGACAGTGGTAGAAGATGCTGCTTCTCCTACTCCCAAGCGCTTTTCTCCTTCTACCATGGGCTGGGGCTGGTGAGTACACCAGGACAAGGACACACAAGGGCTCAAATGGACACTAGCAGGAAATCTCAGGAAATGTTCTTGCCTGGTCTTCTCTCCTATCACTGCACTCCTACTCTCCTCTTTTTCAGCTCAGACTGTGCCTGAAACCAGTGATGCATTACAGGGACTAGAGTTGTGCCCTCTAATAACATTTCAGTCATCCAGAGCCAGGTGTGGTCAGTCCTCCCCAGGCAGTGCTGCTTGTCTTTCTCTCCATTGTGCACCAGCAATGCTTTGGACAGCCCAAGGAAGGAGAGTTGTGGATATCATTTGCATATGATGTTAGAAGAGGTCCCTCTCTCCTCATGCAGTTCCAAACTTGGTAGGAAATATTGGTATATGTGATATTAACACTTCTCATCTCTCTTCCAGGAAGGATCATTGGAGGAAGGGAAGTTAAGCCCCACTCCAGGCCCTACATGGCTTACTTACAAATTGAAAGTGGCTCAGATACTTACAGATGTGGAGGGTTCCTGATTCAGCCAGATGCAGTGCTCTCAGCAGCTCACTGTGTGCATGGAAAAGGGTAAGACCCTCTGTTTCTTGGAATATTTTCAAGTCTCACACAGTCCTGAAGGGCCCCAGCCCTGGTCTGGGCTGAAAGAGTTCTCTGTGTCTCTTCAGGCAGAGCAGGGATCTCTGTGAGCTGAGCTCCCTCTGTGAGTTGCAGGAATTGTCTGCCAGGTTGCTGTGTGCTCCTGGGACAGGAATGCTCAGCAGTGATCTCCTGGTTCATGGTTCCTACCATGGCTCAGAGGTACTGCTGCAAAAGAGGGACCAGTGTGTCCCATTCCCTGCTTCCCCTTTGTCTTCAGAATGGGACAAGTCAGACCTATGTGAGTGTGTGGGGAGGGACCCTCAGTTGAACGGTGGAAGGAAGCCAGGTTACAAAAGGGAATTTGCTGAGAACAAATCTCTGGGGAGGTACATCCCAGTGCCACCTCCCTCCAACCACCTGCCACGGGGCTGTGCTGCTCTGACCAGTGTAGCTGCAACATTTTGGTGTTTCCTGGCAGAAAGGTGAATATCACTGTGACTCTGGGAGCCCACAACATAAAAAAGAAAGAACTGAGCCAGCAGAAGTTCCATGTTGGATGTTGGGTCATCCATCCCAGATACTTAAATTACAGATCTGGAAATGACATCATGCTGCTGAAGGTATGTTCTCACACATCTTTTCTGCCCAAGGGATCTCTTCCCTGCTCACCTCACCAAACCCATGAACTTTTTCCCATTCCTTTGCTGGCTCTAACCCCATGTTCTCTCTGCTTAATAGCTGAAGAAAAAGGCCAAGATGACTAAGTATGTGAAACCCATCTCCTTGCCCAGTCATAACGAAACTGTCACACCAGGAACTAAATGTAGTGTGTCTGGCTGGGGCCAGACATCAGTGACAGGGCATAGGACTGATGTGATGCTAGAGGTGGACCTGGAGCTGCAGCGTGAGGAAGTGTGTGAGGAGTCTTTCAAAGGCTACTGGTGCCAGTCTATGATCTGTGCCGGTGATATGCGTGGCAGAAAATCAACTTACAATGTAAGTGTTTGGATGGTGCTGGGACCACAGTCAGTCAGAGTCTCAGGTGAGGGTCAAAAGGGCAGTACAATGAACCAGATTCTTCAGGAGGATGTGCTGAGGCTCCTCACAGCAGCTCTGAAGCTGACGTGCTCCCTGAGCTGGGGTGCACTTGCCCAACTCTCAGTATCAATTTGCCTCTTTACTCACTTGGAGATGTTCTACTCATCCCAGCCAGTGCCCCAGCAGGCTGCAGAGCTTGTATAAATCCTTCATCCTATCCTCACTGGAAGTGTTCAGATAGTCCCCCATGTCTAAACTAGGATTAGATCCTTCCTTTCAGAAAGGTTTTGAATCTAATAGCCTCCAGTCCTGAGTTGCTTCCCAGAAGGGCTTAGAGGAGTAGTGAGGCAGCTACAAACCCTGCAGAGCTGGGTCTGGAGGGACGGAGGGGGTCAGAAGAGGAGATTCTTTACATGGGGAGAGGGAAGTGGAATAGTTTGTTCCTTAGGGCAGGGAGAGCTGTGCTGTGACAGGGCTGACCCCTTTCACTCCTTTCACTCCACAGGGTGATTCTGGAGGCCCATTAGTCTGCAATCGGAAGGCTCATGGCATTGTTTCTTATGGATATCAAAATAAACCCTTCCCTAAGGTATTTACCAGAGTCTCCTATTTTGAGCCCTGGATCAATGAACAGCTGAGGAAGTTTGCAATCCAAGAGGCTTCTAAATGCACCTAAAACAGAGTCAGAGATGCCTTGCCAGGCACATTTTCTGCACTAAGGAAAGTCTCCCTGGCAAGGTAAGAAAGCAGGTCCCAAGCACACCCAGTTTCCCATTGTTCCCTTCCTCCCACTACTGCCCAACAGTGCCACCTCCTGCTCTGCTTTCTGTCCATCAATAAAAGCTCCTTCAAACTTGCTTGTGTGTGCTGCCTTCTTGAGGATGGGATGCAAAGCCTGAGCATGAGAAGGAGGAGATGACACTCCTTGGGAGAACCTGAGTGGGACTTTAGGTGGGGCACACAATACAGATCTTTGTCCCTGAACTGCTGCAAATGCTCTCCCTTGTCTCCCTCAATCTCTTGCACTCAAACCAGCAGGTAGAGACAGCAGCCTTACCAAACCATTTATTCAGCCTTTCAGAAACAGAAGCTTCTCTGCCTTCAAGGGGGGATCATGTGGGTTTCTAACTTGAAACCATCTCAGGATCCTCAGACAGACTCAACACCAGCCAACCTTACATCCCATCTTCCCTTTCAACCCTCTTGAACCTCAGATGAAGCATTTTCTCTGCACCTGTAAAATGCCTGAGGGCTGAAATGTGGAGATTTTCTCCTATGAGATCAGCTGATCAGACCTGGCTGGGCAAAGAAGTGCCCTCGTGGTGTGGTGACAGGATAGAGAATGTCAAATATGGCTCAGGCAAAAGCAGTATTGCAGAGAGACAAGCCTGGTCAGTCGTGCCAGGGAGAGATGCATTTCTTTTATGCAAATTTTCCTTTATGATCATTTATTCATGATGTGGACAAAGGGATAGAATGTACCCTCAGCATGATTCCCAATGATATAAAACTGGGGACACAGAAACCTAAAGAGGTGCAACATCCCTCCCACCTGGGGAGGGATAACCCCAACTACCAGAACAGCAGCTCTGTGGAGAAGGACCTGCAAGTCTTGATAGATGACAAGTTGATCATGAGTCAGACACATGCCCTGGAGGCCAGGAGGGCCAATGGGATCCTGGGGTGCATCAGGAACAGTGTGGCTGCAGGTCAGGGAGGTGATCCTTCCCCTCTACTCGGCCCTGGTGAGGCCACGTCTGGAGTGCTGCATCCAGTCCTGGGCTCCTCGGTACAAGAAAGACAAGGAACTACTGGAGAGAGTCCAGTGGAGGCCACAAAGATAATTAAGGGACTGGAGTATCTCTCTGAGGAGGAGAGACTGTGGGAGCCAAGCCTGTTCAGTCTAGAGAAGAGAAGACTGAGAGGGGATCTCATAAATACATATAAATATCTCAAAGGCAGTTGTCAAGAGGTTGGTACCAGACCCTTTTCAGTGGTGCCCAGTGACAGGATGAGGAGCAATGAGCACTCCCAACATGAGGAAGAACTTCTTTCCACTGAGAGTGGCAGAGCACTGGATCACCTTGCCAGGAAGGAATCACCTTGCCCTCTCTGGAGACATTCAAAATTCCCCTGGTTGCATTCCTGTGTCACCTGCTCAAGGTCACTCTGCCTTGGCAGAGGGATCAATCTAGATGATCTTCAGAGGTCCCTTCCAACCCTAACTGTTCTGGGATTGTGTGATTCCTGTTGGCTGGCTGGCAGGAAGGAAAAGGACACATTGGATTTGAGCTGCTCTTTTACACAAACTCTGCTTCTCACCCAAATCTTCACTGTCAAAGAAGCATCTGCCCCAGGAAGGCACCAGTTCTGAGGAACAATGGGCCTCAGATCCCTCCCTTTCTCCTCACAGCTGTGGTTAAGCACCAAGTCAGCCAAGACCCTGATAGTACCCATAAGTTCTGCATTAGCCACCTCAGTTACAGAAGCACAGAGTTCTGCATCTGTGCGAGGACAAAAGCAGCCCCAGAGGCTCCAGTGAAGCTGTTAAGAGATATCTCCGCTTTTTGAAATCCTCCTGTTTCACTCCAAATACTTGTCTCCCTTCTACCATAATTTCAAATCAAGTAACATCAAGATTGCCATGGGATGAATACAGCAGGTTGCAGGATGTCCAACCATTTCATAATAATTCACAAGCCTCCTTTTGAGTCATCCCAAACACACACCTCTATTTCTGGCCAAACAACACTCAGTTTGCAGCCCTGAAACAGGAGAAAATAACATTTCCAGAAGGGACAAAGGGATGCCATCCAAGCTTTCCATCCAGTCCTGAGCCACACTGGCTTTGCTCTGCCCCCCCATAACATCCCTTTCCACCCAAATTCCACTCCAGAATACCCCTCCCTAGGTCCAGCACTTTCTTCTCTCTCATGCAGTCAACGTGTGCCATGTGAGCAGGAAAGGAGCAGTCAGCAGCACCAGTGACCGTGGGGCAGATGAACACGGGCCCCACAGGCTCTGGAGCTGAGAGTCACCACAACCAACAAATGTCAGTGAGAATGTTGGGGAGGGGGATTAGCAAGGGAGTGATCACAGAGCTGCCTGTCTGGTAAAGATACAAGAAATGAGGAAAATCTAAAGTGCTCTTCCATGGGATACACTGGGAGATGGGTGAAAATGTGTCAGCACCCCATCCCCGTCAGCACTTTGTAAAGGAGCCCTAATGGCCCCAGAGATTCCCGTGGCAGAGGGTCTGCAGTGGGCACAGGGATCTCCTTCCCCACCCCACCTCCTGTCCTTCTAGGGGGGCCACAGGAACATCCATTGCCACAGGACCAGGACCAGACACCTCCCAGGACAGGGGCTTGTGGGAACTGTGGGAGGGAGAGCAGGATTGTGTCCCCAGACACAGATGCTGCTTTTCTTGCTGCTTCTCAGTTGCCAGAGCTGGCTGCCTTTTGTCAGAAGGCAGCAGAGGACCATCTGGGCATGAGGTGAGGGGTGCAAGCACATGTCCAGAGCAGAACTCTCCTGTATTGATAGTCTGCAGTGTCAGAAAGTGCCTGTGGGATGGTCTGCTTTGAACTACTCCAGTGCACTAGGAGCACAGGGTCAGCCTGCATTCCGAGCTCTGAGCTCAGGTGCAGGGACCTTGACAGGTCTGGGAGGTGTTGAGAGGTGCCAGCCCTGTTCCTAGAAGCACTGAGCTCTGCTAGGTGCCTTCCATACCCTGGGGGACCTCACACGCTGATGCTCTTGTTTCTGCAGCCTCAGCTGCCCAAATACCAGTGTAATTTTTACCTTCCCTCTCAGTGTGGTCCTGCAGATTCGGGCAGTGCTCAAATAGAAAGCCCAGGCAGAAGCACGAGGAGCAAATAAAGTGCAAAAGAGTCTCCAATCTACGGGCTCACATTTGAAAGAGACATGAGGCTTGAGGAAGTTTCTTTTCATGGGAGCCTGGTGTATGTGACATTGGCCTCTAAACCACCTCTCCGGAAAAGGTCGAGAAACCCTGGAGTTTCGGACTCATGCAGGCATGGAGGGGCCTTAGCAGTCAATTGTTACAACCTCATGCTCAATTCAGGGTCAACCCTGAGGGCAGCAAAGGAGCTCAGAAACCCTTGTGGGTCTCACTCCACGCTCTGGTGGGTCATGACTTCAGTGCTGAGCTTCCAGCACTTGGCTCCTCTTCTTGGGTCATGCTCTTGAGCTCATTCTCGGCTGCTTTCAGGAAGGAGGAGAAATCTCCAGAAGAAATTGCCTGGATAGATGGGGCATAAGTTTGGATCTTTTTTCAGGAGGGCTTGTGAACACTGTTTGGGCCTCTGATGAAAGGTGAGAATATTAGTCCTTTGGGGCTGGTTCCTTTTCTCTTTTCTATGCTGTGTTTTTCTCTTTTGAATGTTCTTCACTGGGTCACTAACACAAAAATGAGCTCTAGTTCGTGTTCTGTATTTGTCTGACACTTTCAGTGTCGTAGGTAAACTGAACTGTTACCCTTTTTTCTGATTTCTCTCTTATCAGCCATGTTCCCGGAGGACAATCACCACAAATGCTCAGACATATCACCCTTCAACTAATGTCAGCCTTGTAACCAATAGCTTTGTCAGTGCAGATTCATTTTATATCCAAAGAACCCTGGTGGGAATTAGATCTCAGCATCTCTGTTCTGGGATTCATGTGCAGAAGGCCACATTCATACTACAGGCAGGAAAGATCCACTGTGCAGTGTGATTGCTTTAAAACTGCTCTGACACTGAGTAAGGAGAAAAAAGTAAAGAGAGGAAAAAAAGAAAAAAAATGAAGAATCCTGTAATAGTTTGAAGAACTTCACCCATATATGAATTTCTGTGATTTATCTGTTGCTGTGATGACTGTCATATCTATCGTTCTGTCCAAGTACTGATGTGACTTTCCTTGTATACTGAAATATTTTCTCCTTTCTTTTCCCTGTTGTGGATTTTTGGTTTGGTTTGGGGTTTGTTTGTTTGGGGTTTTTTGTTTTTGTTTGGAAGCACATCTGTCTCTCTGCATCTGATTTTTACTTTGGATTCTGGTCAAGGTGTAGTAATGCCTGCATTTTTATTCCTACCAATGTCAACCTAGAGCCTTTAAAATCTCATTTGAGCCAGGACAGCAAGGCAGTCTGAGCCAACTACATTGCAGTGACAGAATGCCACCATTTCTCTGACAGAAGTGTTAGAGGTGGAGACACAATGTAAGAAACCACAAGAAAAAAAAGGGAGAAACTCCACCAACTAGCCCTTCTGAAAACTTTTACGGAAATTCCTCCTTTTCCACATGAGTATTGTTATTATTACAGCCTTCCTCTACTTCAGAGTTCACAGTAGGTATTGCAAAAAATGAATGGGTTTTATTACTTTGTTCTACCCATATTGTTAGAGGTTTTTATCTCACCATCTCTGCTACACAAAGTAAACACTTCTTACTTGGTGCTATCTGGAAGGATTCATTTGTGTTTAAGTTTGAACTTGTCAAGGAACAAAAATTAGACTTCTTGATTGGTGAGCCCGGCACAGTAATGGACAAGTTATTTAGCTATATTACAAACTGGTTATTTCCATTAATTCCTCCTTTTCCTTTTTATACCCCATTAGTTGAGTTCAGCCTTGAACTAGAGCTGTCCATCTTCCTATTCAGGCCTCATTCATCTCTATGGATGTA